CTTCTTCTTCTTCTTCTTCTTCTTCTTCTTTTTCTTCTTTTTCTTCTTCTTCTTCTTCTTCTCTTCTTCTTCTAATTTGATATTGCTTCTCTGACTATTCTGCAATAAAACACACTGTCTTATGCTATTCTGCATGCCCGAGTTGTATTATTAAATCCTTTATGAATTAGCTAACGATCTTTCATAGAAAACAGCAATAATTAGAACCCCAATCTCTAAACTGTTGTCGCCCCAGCTATCACTTTATCTTGGAGGAGTGGATGACGGCCGAGGAAGACTCACTGGACAAGCTGATCGAGTCGAGCAGTGTCAAGGACTTGGAGACTCTGAAAAGTTTGTTCTTCAGCAACGCCAAGCAACACATCACAGACGAGCACTTGTGGGTCTCTGTCTTTGTCAGGCCGGACAGGAACCGTTTCAGGTTTGGGATTTCCGTGTCCTTTGTTGTAAATTAATGCTTGATCATATTTTTTTTTCTAAAACAAATTTTGGTGAAGAGGGATTTTCGTGTCCTCTGCTTTGAAATTCTTGATCTTGTTTTTGAAATCAAATTTTGCGATGTTAGTTAAGAACAATAATGAGTGTGTCGATTTTATGACAACTTTTTCTTTTATCATGACAAAAGGTCATTTGCTGTTGACGGTTTGCCATGATTTCTATTATGACCGAGGACATTTTTGTTTGTTTACCGAACCTGAAACCATTTCTCTTAAAGCCCCAAGAACCTGTTTCGATTTTAAAGAAAACCACATAATATTATCCTTTGTTGAGTCCTGGTGGACTCAGGCACACGTCAATTTCTGGCCAGAAAATGAAGTTATTGATACCGTCTTAAAACTTATTCATTTTTTTGCATTACTTTTGGTGAAAAAGAAAATATCCATCTACCTAGAATCGAATTCGACATATTATTTGCTATTGAAGTAGTCAATGTTTGTATTGGCGTCGGTGGCCTAGTGGTTAGGCTACCGGACTCGTAATCGTGAGGTTGCAGGTTCGGGGGTTTGAGCCATAGGCCCGACCTTGTGTCCATGGGAAATGTTCTTTTCACTCACATCACCCTGGCCATAGTCAGCGAACAATCTTGTCAGTGTGTTAGTTAGTGTTTTCGCATCTTTAATGGGCTGCTTGCACTGTAAGCTTCCCAGGAAGTTGAGCTTGTTTCAGAATGCTCTTAAATCTGCTGGGGTAATAGTATAGATTGTGAAGCGCACAGAGCTTGCTATTGAGCAGGGATTTGCGCTATACAAATGCTATCTATTATTATTATTATTATTATTATTATTATTATTATTATTATTATTATTATTATTATTATTATTATGTTTCCAGCCGGGTGGAGCGAGTGGGGTGTTGCATAACCTTTCTCCTCCTGGCCATGATCACGTGCGCCATGTTTTACCAAGGGACGCAGGGGCTGGATCGGGAACAGCCGCACAAGGATCTGGAGATCGGGCCACTCAAGCTGAGCTTTCAACAGGTGAGAACTTACTTTATTTTTACAGTTTTCCTTCCTCTGGTGAGAACTCCTGGTCATAATAACAGCGACAGATCTTTTAGGTGTGTTAGTGCATCAGCGCCTATAAAATGGCAGCTTGCACTGTATGCTTCCAGGAAAGTTGAGATTGTTTCAGAATGCTATAATGTCTGCTGGGGTTATGATTGATTGTAAAGCGCATAGAGCTTGGTGTATATGAGGGAATTCACTACACAAACGTTATCTATCATTACTATATTATTATCGTCTGCGTCGTTCCACAGTCACTCAAATCACTTTCTTCGGGTTTTCAGATTCGTAATTTAGTAAGAGTTGCAACACAAATATATTAGCGCCGAAGGTAAGAGATGTTTGTTCTAATGGTTCAATAAGAAGGTTTACATTCTTCTTCTTCTACTCTCCCGTGGTTGGGACAACATTGCATCTGAAAACCAGCTCTGGCCATTTATCCTTGTTCTCTTCTTTCCTCAGATTGTCACACATCGTCCTGTCCACTCTGTAATGTTGTCCTTCCATCTCTTTCTCTGCCTTCATTCCTCTCTTTCTCTTTCCTTGTACAGTTCCTAAATTATATTACCTCACACAAAATATTCTTTACCGGTGTCTGTGGGGTAGCAGTTAGGCGCTTTGCTGTCGCACACAGGAAACCCCAGTTCAATTCTCCAGAAATCAGGGGAAATTTTTATCGAGAAACTCGGTCGTCTTTCTTTTGAGATGTTGTATCCTTCTCACTCCAGATTTTCCCTGACAGGCATAGTCTGATACTTAACTCCTAGGTTATCTTAGATGTGTGTTCATGGTTGGCGGGTGCTCTGGTGTGGTTTGTTCCTTCTTTCCTACCAAACATCTATCGTCCTGATCTCTCCTCCTTCACTTTTTGTGTTTGTTACCCTCTTGTAACACCTCTAATCTTCGGCACGTATATGACCTTAGTGTGTTGCAAGTGCCATGAAACTCTAACTAAACCTTTAAAAAAAAACAACGTATTATGTATTTTTTAAAAATATTTCTTTCCGCAGCTGTACAGATCTCTGGCGTCTGCTGTGATCACGGCAATCCCAATGATCTTCATCGTGCTCCTCTTCCGAAAATCTCACTGGACCAAAAAAGGCAAAACCTCCTGCTGTGGTCGCGGGAAAAAGTACAACGACAACGAGGGTGGCGACGGGGACGACGATGAGGAAGATCTTGTGAGGTTAGAGGAGGCAATGACGGAGAGGTCAGAGGCTGAAGGCAGCGAGACGGCGAAGGAGGGTGATGGACAGAATGATGAAGTGAATGACGAGACAGGAGACGGGACGACGGAAAGAATGTCTGGAGATGTCGGCCGTGACACAGTTTCTGATGACAAGGTTTACTCCAAAAAAGATACAGGGGGTTTGGACAATCCTGCCTTTGTGAGGGATGAAAGTTTTGACAGAATTTCCGAACGAAAATCCCCGACAACTGAACTTGAAGGTAAGAGTTTTAGATAAGTGTTGTTTAGTTTAGCTTTACTAAAAGTTTTATTGCACTTGCGACACAATTAGATCAAATAGGTGGCTAAGAATTAGAGGTGTTACTAAAGAGTAACACACACACACACACACACACACACACACACACACACACACACACACACACACACACACACACACACACACAACACATAATTTCTGCACACAACACACATATGCACACACACACATTCTAAATCACGTTTAAATATTTAAAAGACAAGACAAGATAAAGCAGAAGACGAAATTTTATAATAATTAAATCATGACGATATAGGTAAGGTAATCAAATGGTCCTTGAGAGCAATGAAGATAAAAGTCGGTTCATTTCAATTGAGAATACAATCTCAATAGACTCCATAATGATAGTTAATAATCTGTTCCAGGGAAGCCGTACAATGACAAAGAGGAAAAACCTGACCCCCCTGGATGCTGTGCCAAGATGCCGTGGATGAGAAAACTGGAGAGGCAACTGGCAGAGCTAGAGAAAATACTCCTCACCAAACCAGGTAAGTAGACAATCTTTGTTTGTATTTTAAAACAAGAAACAAAAAAAAAACCCAAAAAACAAACAAAACATTTTTTTTTAAATTGCGAACTTTTTAAATAATAGATAGCATTGTATAGCGTGAATCCCCGCCCAACATCAAGCGCTGTGCACTTCACAATCTATGTACTATTACCTTCTATGTATGGAATAAGAGACATTTCTAAAGATTCTGGTTTTAGTAAAATTCCACTCCGAAATAATATGTTTTGAATGAACGTAAAAGGTGTTGAGCAAAGCACACACACACACACAAATTAATCCTTAAAAATTGTAGACATTTTTGATGGACTTGCTTGTTCTCAACTTTATATACTTTTATAAAAGTACTTTACTATTAATTCTTTAGTTTTTGGTTGTTTTTTTGTTTGTTTGTTGTTGTTGTTTTTTAGTTGATTAACATTATGGTATATCCAACGAGTACCGCAGTAAAATAAGGGCAAGTACTTTGATTTTTTTCTAAGAATGGACTTATCTTGTCTTTCCCAACCCCTTCACTTACAACTATCGTCGTCATTCTACCCACAGACGCTCTCCAGTTCTCCGACAGCTGGCCCTACGCCTTTAGGTACGTGGCTTGGGCCATCATCGTCTTGACCATCTTCACGTGCAGCTTCTTCGTTGTCCTGTACAGCATGCAGTGGGGGAAGGACATCTCCGAGGAGTGGCTGTCCACCTTCTTCCTCTCCTTCCTGCAATCTCTGGTCGTCGTAGACCCTGTTAAGGTAAAACATGATAGCCAACCTTTAGTTGTTGTTTTTGTAGTTTTGTGATGAATTTATAGATTCTGTCAAGACAAATGGTCGCTTTTAAGCACAGGGGGCAATCCTGAAAAACGCTGTTTTGAGAAAAGCGAAGGTAACGTTTTTGCCCCTTGTTCAGTTTCTTTAAAAGACAAGGAGAGTTTTCTCTATAACCTAACACATATACACATGAATGAAAACAAACTTCACCTATAGGTAGGGCAATGCCCACTTTTTGTGCAGGTCAAGATTTCCGGAAACTCCCGAAATCTGGGTTAGCTCGCTTGTCCTAAAAAGCGACCCAAATGTGACACTTTATATCTATATTCGTTTGTGGTTACATAATTAATTAGAAAATGCCGGACAAAAGGAAAAACCAAAACACCTTATAATTTTGTTAAAGGAAAAAGGATCATATACACACTGCGAATGCTACCTAGTTCCTGTATATTGAAAAATCCAAGTTTGAAGAAAGCCAAAACAAATCTCCTGAGTGTATGTGTAAATAATGTGAAAATACTTTTTTATATTGCGCTGTTGATGTTGACTAAGGCTCTCCTTCCCCACACTTCTTTTCTACAATGATGATGATGATGATGATGATGATGATGATGATGATGATGATGATGATGATGATGATGATGATGATCACATCAAATGACGTCACTCCTAAATGCTCTTCTCCAGGTTGTGATGCTGTCTATGCTGCTGGCCATCTTCATACGGAAGGCCAATGTCCAAAGTGTGGATGAGCTCAGTCTCCGGGTAGTGTCTGATGTCAACAGAGAATACGGGATCAAAGAAAGTAAGGAATTCAATAGGGATAGAGGAAAATAAGAAATGAAGTAGGGATAAACAGTGAATACGGTATAAAGGAGTGTAAAGAATTCAATAGGGATCAATGGAGAAAACGGAATACAAAAGTAAGAAATACAATTAGGATGAACAGAGAATACGAGATTAAAAAAAGTAAGTAATACAATAGGAATGAGCATTAACAGAGAATATGGAATGGAATACACTATGTAGTGGTGCACTATGGATTAACAGAGAATCAAGGAAAGTAAGTTTGTCCTCCCATCTCCTTCTCTGCCTTCCTCTCTTTCTCTTTCCTTGTACGGTTCCTTGCAGGATTGTTTTGGCAAGTCCTGTAGATCTTGTGACATGCCCATACCATTTTAGTAATAGTCTTTTCACTGTGGTCAGTAGATCTTCGTATTGTCCCACTGCGTTGGTGATTCTCTTTCGAAGTACGAAGAAGAAGAAGAAGAAGTTTGGAAATAGATACAGCAGGGAATACGTGATCAAAGTAGTAAGGAATTCAATTGATACAAGGGAGAAAACGGGAGAAAGGAAAGTAAGTGGTGCAATAGGAGTAAAGGAAAGTACAACAAAATGGTGAAATGGTGTAGGTTTTACGCCTCTATCAGCACTATTACGCTATTTAAGAGGCGGTACCTCCGAGTTTAACGTCCATCTCTGAAAGGACCGAGCCAAATGGGAATTTCATGTAAAATGCCTTTCCTAAGAACACAACGTCGGACGGAGCCGAGGCTCTAACCTCCGAACCCTCAGCCTCACGATTACGAGCCCACGGGTAGCCTTATCACTAGGCTACCGACGTCTCTAAAGGACAGTAGGTGTAAGTAGCACAATAGCAATAAAGAAAAGGGAGTAATGAAATAGAGATAAAAGAAAGTAAGCAATACAATAAGGATAAACAGAAAATACGGGTAAAGGACAGTAAAGAATACGGTAAGGATTAACTGTGAATACGGGAGAAAAGAAAGTAAGAGTAGGCTCTGCATTACATACTGGGCACTTTTTTCTACGTACCCTTATTTTTAAAAATCTTATTCTTATATTAATTTATCGTACAGTATCTTAGCATTATTTTATCATTACTCATCCTATCATATCTATGATCTTATCGCGAATTCATCTATCTTCTTTTTCCTGTTGTAACTTATCTTAACCTATCGTTACTCTAATCTTTTTTCTTATTATCTTATCGTATTCTATCATAACGTATCGTATAAAACGTTATTTTATCATAATTTATCTAATGTCATTTATCTTATCATAATTTATCTAATGTCATTTATCTTATCATAATTTATCTAATGTCATTTATCTTATCATAATGTATCTAATGTCATTTATCTTATCATAATTTATCTAATGTCATTTATCTTATCATAATTTATCTAATGTCATTTATCTTATCATAATTTATCTAATGTCATTTATCTTATCATAATTTATCTAATGTCATTTATCTTATCATAATTTATCTAATGTCATTTATCTTATCATAATTTATCTAATGTCATTTATCTTATCATAATTTATCTTATCTCCCGTCCCGTCCTCAGAGACGGACCCACCCCGCTCCTACGTGTCGTACACATCCACGATGACGGAGGAGGAGCTGCGTGAGGCCACGCTCAAGAGAAAAGTGCACGTCATGGTCCGCACAGTTCTGCGTGAGCTGGCCATGCACCTGGTGCTCCTGCTGCTCGTCTGCAGTCTGTGCTACACCAACCGGGGCACCAACGACTACCACATGCACAGGATGATTTACAACGACCTGGTGGAACCCAAGTACACGGGCTTCAAATATGTGAGTGGAATAATAATACTCGAGGATCTCGGTCAGTGAAATCAGGCGCTCGTCAAAATAATGAACTCGAGGAAATAATTAGCGTCTCCCCCCCCCCCTCCTCCTCGCTAGTTTGGCAATGATATTTATCGATTTTTTGTTTTTTTGTTTTTTTGCTCAACACTTTTTACCTCCTTATAAAAAAAACAGAATTCCCATGAGAATTTTACTGAAAAACGTTGACTAAAAGCAATAAACATTCAACCCCTACAAATACAAACAAACCAAACAACAAACAATACACTCATTGGCATTGGTCCTTCACCCCCAGGTAGACTCGACCTCGGGCTACTTCGACTGGCAAGAGAACGTTGTCACTACTTGACAAGCAAACAAACAACCATACAAACAAACAAACGAACCCACGAACCAAATTGATCCCATAAACTCATTCCCATTTGTCCTTTATTCCCAGGTGAACTCGACGTCTGACTACTTCGACTGGCTAGAGAACGTGGGGACTACCTGACTTTTCTCGGAAAAACAAACAAACAAACAAACAAAACAAAACAACAAACATACACTTATTGACATTGGTCCTGTATTCCCAGGTGAACTCGACGTGGTGACTACTTGACAAGCAAACAAACAAATAAACAAACAAACAAAGGAACAAACAAATAAACAAATATACAGAAAATAAACCAACCAAAAGAACCCAATAAATTATATTCGTTGCTGTTGGTCTTTTATCGCCAGGTGAACTCGACGTCGGACTACTTCCACTGGCTAGAGAACGTGGTGACTCCCTGGTTGTTCCCCGACCAAAACTACAAGGGCGAGTCCATCATCTCCGAGGACCGCCAGTTCACCGCCGTCTGGGATCTCTATAGGCTGGGGGCGCCCAGGCTCCGGCAGTCGCGCATGCCCAAAAGTGAGCTGTTAGTATGGTAGTGTTTTAGAGCCTAGCTATAAATTGTCGCTTATAATCATAAGGAGGCTATCCCGAAAAAGGCTGTTTTGAGAAAATCGAGGATAAAGTTTTTCCCCCTTGTTCAGTTTCTTTAAAAGACAAGGAAGGAAAGTTTTCTTTATAACCGAAAAAATATACACACCAATGAAACCAAACTTCTCCTATAGGTAGGGCAATGCTCACGTTTGGTGTAAGTAAAGATTTCTGGAAACTCCCGAAATCTGGGTTAGCCTGCTTGTCCGTAAAAGCAACCAAATGGCCGCTTGAAGTTGAGGTTGTTTCAGAATGTCCTCAGGTCTGCAGTGGTAACAGTAAAGATTGTGAACCGCATAGAGCTTGATGTTGAGCGGGGATTTCTGCTATACAACTAAATGCTATATTATTATTATTATTATTATTATTATTATTATTATTATTATTATTATTATTATTATTATTGTTGTTGTTGTTGTTGTTGTTATTATTATTATTATTATTATTATTATTATTATTATTATTATTATTATTATCATTATTATCCTAAGTTTGAAAGACGCAATACAGACTTTAAAATTGTGAAATGGTATCGGTTTAACGCCCCTGTCAACACTATTAAGCTGGACCTTCAAGTTTAACGTCCATCTCCGAAAGGACTGAGCCAAATGGGAAATTCGTGTACAGTGCTTTTCCCAAGGACACAACGTCGGACCGAGCTGAGGCTCGAACTGCCGAACCCCCCGTATTATCACGATTACGTGACCGGTTGCCTAACCACTAGGCTACTGACGTCAAAGACTAAAAGACTTAGGAGTTTATAGTGTTAAACGAAAGTATTATGATGCAGGTACGCTTACACCCTCATTGACAGAATCTAAATATACCATATGGGAAGCAGGCTTCTTATCCTGCATGCCAGGCCCAACCCGGGCTGAGAAGGATACAACATGCCAGCAGATAGGCCGAGATACTCAGTCAAAAATTTTCTCCACACACGGAAATCGAGCTCCGGTCTCGTACAGGCGACACCAAAGACGCTGTCCTCCCTATAATATTATCTAAATTGTGTCCTTTGGGAGGTACAACATCTTATCAATCTTTGACTACCTCAGAATTACACAGCTCTTTCTGCTCAGTACCTAGTTTTGAGAAATTTGACGTCAAAGATTTTGAGTTTCACATTATGTTAAACCTTTTCAAATGCAATTCTTCGTATATTATCTTGATAACGACTCCGAATAATCTTTAGGATTTTGATAGAGCAGATAGAACATTTGGCTTGTGACCTCATGGTCTTACTAACTCAAAACGGCCAAAAAAATGTCGGATAGACCTTTGTAATAAGTCGCTTTTAAGCACAATAGGGCTATCCGATAAATACTGTTTTTTGAGAAAATCGAAGTTAAAGTTGTTGGATCCTTATTCAGTCTCTTTAAAACACAAGGAGGGTTTTCTCTAGGACCTAACAAATATACACACCAGTGAAACCAAACTTCTCCTACAGGTAGGGCAATGCCCACTTTTGGTGTAGGTCAAGATTTACGGAAACCCCAGAAATCTGGGTTAGCCTGCTTGTCCTTAAAAGCGACCCGACTGATTTGTCCCCAGCTAAATGCGACTCAACCCGTATTCCATACGGGCCGTGCGTGGACGAGTACTCTATCGAGGACGAGGACACCACGGAGTATTGCTTGGGCTGGACCAGCACACCGTGCCCACAAGTTGACCAGCTGAGGATCACGGCTGGCTCCTGGTACTTCCAGTCCGCGCTGGACATCTGGGGTGTGCCCATAGCCGGGGAGTACAGCATCTACGGCGGGGGAGGGTACATCGCCAACCTGGACATCAACTCCATGGTGGGTTCAGCAGCAGCGTCCGGATTAGCTGCAGCAGCAGCAATAACAATAGCAGCAATAGCGGCAGCAGTAACAGTAGCAGCAGTAACAGTAGCAGCAGTATCATAATTATCGTCACAATCATCAATAGCAGCAGCAGCAGCAGCAGCAGCAGCAGCAGCAGCAGCAGCAGCAGCAGCAGCAGCAGCAGCAGCAGCAGTAGTACGCTGTCGTCATCATCATCATCATCATCTTTAGCAGCAACAGCAGTAGTACCTTGTCGTCATCATGATCATCATCATCATCATCATCATCATCATCATCATCATCATCATCATCATCATCATCATCATCATCATTTTTAGCAGCAACAGCAGTACGTTATCGTCGTCATCATCATCATCGTCATGCTCATATTGCACCGGAACAACATTGGGGGAACTGCTGCTTTTTCGTCTCTCATCCTTACTTTTGTCATTGTGCCTCTACTTCTTTTGTATGTTTGTGACTCTCTTGTGAACTGCTATTTCCGGGGTGTCTTGATAGTCGAAGCAGACTTTGCGCCGTTGAGGCCAGAGAGGTGAGCAGAGTAAGCCTGATTCCCCGTTTGGACTTCTCCCGTTGACATCCACCCCTTGGCGCTTATAATTATGACCTTATGCAGTTGCGAGCGCCGTAAAACCTTTCTAAAACATCTCCCCAGATTGCCCGAGCGACGCTGCAGCAACTGAAGAAATACCTGTGGGTGGACAGACAGACCAGGGCTGTGTTCCTGGAGTTCACGCTGTACGCGCCCAACATCAACCACTTTGCCTATGTCATCTTTTTGGCGGAATTCCCGGAAACTGGAGGATTTGTGCGCTTTGCAAAGTTAGTATCAAACCTTATAATATTTAAAACTACTGAGCGGTCAAAAATTCGAGGCGCAACCTATCCTTAAATATTATATCTTTATTGGGTGAATCGATGTTATCCAGACTTTGCACATCAGTTTGTATTAATTTGTCTTAACTAAATCATATTTTTTACAACAATTAAGCCTAGATAAAAAAAACTTTTCTACATAAATTTGTATAAAATACTTGAAATCTCTGCCACGCGTAAAATGGTATTGTTCACAGGACTTCCTGCTTCTCACACACATTTTGCGTACACATATGGCCTACGTCACAGCTCACCAATGATACTTTTATTGGCCAAACTTGTTACAAGAAATTCATTATATAGTGAACACATTTTTGCACTAAAGGTTCTCAAAACAAGCTTTCAATAACGATAGGGTCATGATTAGAAAAACAATGATGGGTTTGCTTTTAAAAGTGACATTACCCCAACTGTAAACCTTTTAAAATCTTGGATTTTTTATTCGTACTTATTTTTTAGAAGAATGCTAATTTAAAGACACATTTAATGACATCGTTTTTATATCAGTAGATTCATGTGCAGTACAATGTTATGTAAATGACTATGTATCTATTTATGTATTTTGCGAATTGCATTGTGTATAATATTTTATTATTTATTTGTATGTGCTCATTTCGTAACAATGTGTAAGCGTGCGTGTTTGATAACAACGATCAAAGCTACATATTTTTTTAAGTTTGGAGAAAGCAAGTTTTTTTTCAGTAAAATCCCCTGATCTGTTTTATACAATTATGTTCCCCTCTTTAAACAAAAGCATCTCCTCTTTTGCCCCGTTTGACAATTTTAAAGCTAATAATATAAGACATTGATGCTTCCTGCTAAAGGCAAGCATTTGATAACAATTTCTAGTTGTTGTTTTATTTGTTTTTGTTTTTTGTTTTTTGTTTTTCAACTGAAATCTTCAAACTATAATAGTTCTAACTCACTACACAGATAGAGCAATCATTCGGATGCGGGAAATGGGGATAGAGAGGGGAGAAGGAAGAAAAGAACAGTTATCTGGAATGAAAAGACGTCGCCATAATCAGACAACCACCGGAACAATCAGTAATGATACCTTGCGGGCTTTGGTGGGGAGAGGAGCTGAGCACTTATGGACCTGTCCGGTGTGCAATGACGTTGTTGCTCAGGACAGGTAATACAGGCAATAACTCACCACATTTCCCTCATTCCCAACAGCGTTTATCCATTCCAAGTCTACAACCCTCCCGGTTTTCTCGGCACGTACATCCAGATCTGTGAGATCCTGGGCATTCTCTTCACCGTCATCGGCTTCTTCTACGTCGTCCTGGTGTTCAGCAAAGAGAAACTGTCGGCTCTCAAAGACTTCTGGTTCATGGTGGACGCTCTAGGGGTTCTCGTGGCCGTGCTGGCTGTCTCCATGTACTCGTAAGTGACTCAAACACGATGTGGTTTTATTACTGTTATTGTTATTATTACTACTGTATTATAATTATCATTATTGTTTTATTATTGTTATTATTATCATCATCATTATTATTATTATCATTTTTATCATTAATATTATTATTACTACTAGTATTCTGAGGGTGCGGTGGCTGAGCGGTTTGTGCGCTCGTCTTCGAAACGAAAAGTCAAGGGTCCAGCCTCGTTTTGGACACGGATTTTTTTCGCCCCCTCCAGCCCACCCAGTAGTAATGGGTACCTGACTTCAAGTTTGGGAAGTAAAGGCGGCGTGGAAAGGAACTGGCCACACTACCACAACATTCCGAAGGCCCAAGAAGTTGTCTCACTAACAAGGCAATCCCCAATGTCCGGATCGGATGCGGGAACAACTTTACTTTTTATTTTGTATCCCCTCCCCCCTCTAGAACTCGTCTGACGTTTACAAAGACCGCAATCGCCAAGATGAAAGAGGACCCGACCAAGTTCGTCAACTTCCACCAAGTCGTCATTTGGGACACGGCTTTCGTCGTCTGCTTGGCTTTTCTCGTCTCCATTGTGTGCTTTAGACTACTGAAACTTGCAGGCTATTCCAAGAAAACGATGAGGGTGAGTCAGTCAGTCAGACCAGATGATATTTTCAGGGAGGATGTTTACCAGGCATAATTGGTCTCTTTTAAGGACAAGCGGGCTAACCGGTCGCTTCCCGGATTCGAACCCGGGACTTTTGAATGAGAGGCCAACACCTTAACAACCGCTAGGCCACAAAAAAACCCCATAAAGTGCCTTTAATTTAAACCTCCTTCCCTGAATGCCAAAAGGGAAGGGCATCGTCTAGAGAGGCATTGCTGTCACTGTATGTGTCTCAATAGTATTGTTTCACTTAATGAAACATTGTTTTCAAAGACGACTACCACTGTATAGAAAGCGCTTCTGGCTCTGTTTTAAACCTCCTTCTTTTCCTACCGACTGAAAAAGTGTAATATGTCCCGAGCGCTCATAATAAATGACCTTGTGCAGTTGCGAGCGCCGTAAAACACTACCCCCCCCCCCCCCCAAAAAAAAAAACAACCCCAACCTCCTTCCCTCTCCGCTTTCGACCGTTTCATAGCTTTACGTGGAAACATAGTATCGAAAATAATAATAATAATAATAATAATAATAATAATAATAATAATAATTTCATAGTCTGACCTTTATTCCCTCCATTTATTTCAGGTCTACGTGGTCTTGAAAATGGCTGCTCACGACATGCCAAGCTTCTTTTTCTTTATGTTTCTGTCGCTGGTGAGTTTTGCGCTGCCTGCTGTTCTGTTGTTCGGCAAAACGAGCCACCAGTACAAAAGTTTTGTCAACAGTATGGCGACCATGTTTACAGGAATTCTTGGCAACTCCGGTTTCAAGGTGAGTGGATTTTTAAAATAGTTTTGTTTTGTTTTTGTTTTTAAGTGTTTTACGGCGCTCGCAATAGCATTAGGTTATAATGTGAGCGCACGGGACAAACTACACATTTTTTTCAATTTGGTAGGAATTATTGTTAAATTTTGCCCGGGTGGTAACTGAAGCCTACTACTACTACTACTACTACTACTACTACTACGACCACTACCACCACTACTACTATTACTACTACTACTATTACTACTACTGCTATTACTACTACCACTACCACTACCACTACCACCACCACCACTACCACTACCATTACCACTACCACTACCACTACCACTACCACCACCACCACCACTACCACTACCACTACCACTACCACTATCACTACCACTGCCACTACCACTACCACCACCACTACCACTACCACTACCACTACCACTACCACCACTACTACAACAACAACTGAATCATCACACACACACCTCTTCCCCTCTTCCAACAGGAAACCAACCTACCCGAGACCGAAAAGTACATCACGATCATCTACTTCTGCCTGTTTGTGTCCGTGGAGTTCATTCTGATGAGCAACCTGCTCCTGGCCATTCTGCTTGACCTGCTGACCGTCAACGCCCAGAGAGACAGTCCGGCGGTCCTCAGTGACCACGCCAAAATCTTCTCCGTTCTCTGGGCAGCCATCTTGAAAGCGCTTGGCGTGAAGCGAGAGCCCACCTCGCTGCTACAGTCCGGAAGTAAGTGTAGAAATAGTTACAATAATAATAATAATAATAATAATAATAATAATAATAATAATAATAATAATAATAATAATAACAATAATGATGATGATACTACTACTACTACTACTACTACTACTACTACTACTACTACTACTACTACTACTACTACTACTGCTGCTGCTGCTGCTGCTACTACTACTACTACTACTGCTGCTGCTGCTGCTGCTGCTGCTACTACTACTACTACTACTACTACTACTACTACTACTACTACTACTACTACTACTACTACTACTACTACTACTACTACTACTACTACTACTACGACGACGACGACGACGACGACGACGACGACGACGATGACTACTACTACTACTACTACTACTACTACTACTACTAATAATAATAATAATAATAATAATAATAATAAAAAATATTATTATTATTATTATTATTGGGATAATAATGATAATGCTAATGATAATACTAATACGTTATTCTGTTCTGACTGGCAAAATGCGGATCAGAACGTAAAAGCTGCAGGGAGCTAATTCATGACTATATCGTGTCGGAACTTCTCGCACAGTGATGTCCCCTGAGAGAGTTCAATCGGCCTGGAAATAGCCGAAAGATGGGAGGTATCATCTCTTGACTCAGAGGTTGACTTGTATGACCCTCAAGCTTTCACGGTTGTGAGCTGCCGTTGCACATTCTAGGTATCATCTCTGACTCAGAGGTTGACTTGATATGATGACCCTCAAGCTTTCACGGTTGTGAGCTGTCGTTGCACATTCTAGGTATCATCTCTGACTCAGAGGTTGACTTGTTGTGACCTTCAAGCTTTCACGGTCGCGAGCTGCCGTTGCACATTCTGATATAGCCTGCCTGCCAAGGCCAGTCTATGTTTTAATGTTGTACTTCCGTGTCACTCTTTGTCTACCCCTGGCTCTTCTGCTTCACATCCTTCCTTCAAACACCTCTTTCACAATGTTTAGGTGTGGTTTTGAGTGACCGAAGAAACAGCTCTGTATCATGAATCTTTGAAAAGAGAATTGGTTCTTTTTGATTGAAAGAAGGAGAGTAATAGGAAAGAAGGAGCGAGCGACACCGGAGGACCTCATAATATGTGATCGTATGTGCCACAACATTGTATTAAAATATAAGAAAGAAGAGTAGGGTGATTAGGGGAAATAACTGTGGGGCGAGAAGAAAGCCGGAAGAGGTAATACAGTACTGTTCATAATATCATACCACATAATTTTAACTTTCTGTCCTCTTGTACCAGAATCCCTTTGTTGTTTTTAATCTCTCGGCTTTACTTTTCCCCAGCACGAAATGAACATTATTGTGTCGATGTGCTTCTCTCTTTGCTCAAAGCAACTCAGAAAAATTATTGTACCGTAAAGTGATATGACAATGTAATTGTCGGACATGAGCCAGGCGTCTTGATGCCTTTTGAATCGTCATATTGTGTTTATGGAGGTCTCTTTTAGTTTAAGTAAGAGTTTTACGGCACATGCAACACAATAAGGTCATATAAGTGCTGAAGATTAGAGGTGTTAAAAAAGAGTAGTAACAAACAGTAAAAAAGGAGAAATCAGCACGATAAATGTTTGATAGGAAAGAAGGAGCAAATCACACCAGAGCACCCGCCCATCACCCACAGGAGGTCTCTTTGACTCTTTCGATCAATGTTTAGTTCACACTAGCATGACTCAACACTTTTCCCATTTGGCTTCATCGACTTGCAGCACGATAGTGTACTATGCCATGGTAGTTTCCTTTCCTTCATCCAAACCTTTGAGTGGTGGGTGGTTGGCAGGTGCTCTGGTGTGGTTTGCTTCTTCTTTCCTATCAAACATCTATCGTCTTTATCTCCCCTACTTCTTTTTTGTGTCTGTTACTCTCTTGTGACACTTCTACTCTTCGACACTTATATGACCTTATTGTGTTGCAAGTGCCGTAAGACACTTACTAAAACTTTTTAAAAACCATTGACTGTTGCATAATTTTATTTCAGAGAGATCTGAAGCGCGCCGAGAGGAGCGTCGTGCTGAGCCAGACTACGACGCGTGGATTATGAGGCTTGGTTACAGTATTGCTAGGTACGTCCTCTCGACACACTCTACCCGGGGGGGGG